TCTTATCCACGTGTTTCCATAACATCTTGGCCTTTATGTGGAATCCTTTTGTTGATCCATCTATATTGTTGTTAGTCTACAAGCCTTTGGAGCTCAAGGACTGTTACTCATGAGTACTCTTCCCTAGGGATTCTGGGATGTATCCACAATAGGATAGGGGCTGAGTAAAAGTTTTGAAAATTAAATTGAATTGAGATACGTTGAATTGAATTGAGTTGAGTTGAATTGAATGTATTCAATTCTCCCAGACATTGGAAAAAATAATCTAGTAGGGGCCATTCTTCAGTCCTCCTTAACCAATTCATTTGCTACAGTGATGTGCTGTTGCACAAAACTCAAGCCTGGAGAAGAATTCATTCTGCCTCAACACCATGGGATAAGCATATTTATTTTGTCAGCTCTACATCCGTTCTTTTGGTTTCTATTCCTCCTCTTCACCATATTGATTTTACTTTGAGGGAAGCTGTTCTTCCCACTCTCAGTTCCAGTTTCCACTTGCAGAAATGGGCACATGATCCAGGCCTTGCCATTGAGTATATTCCATCCATTTGGCCAAGGTAAGAGTATGCAACCCAAGATAAGCCAAGAACATAATTCAGGAATTTTTTTTGCTAGTTGGGAAAGAAAATGCTCTTTGTGCTGAGACTGATCATGGTAAAGACATCATAAATCTGGAAGTGCCAGGAATCCCAGTGTGGACATCACAGGTCTATGAATGAACTCCAAAGAGAAAGGGGCAGAACCAAAAGATTGAAGGGAATTGGAGGGAGAAACCAAGTCCTGTGAGTGGGGGTATTTCAGTACTTGGGTCTAGAAAATGATCTCTTAAATTAGACTGGCATTCATAAATAATAACTGTTTATGACTTGGGGAAAATTACTTAACCATTCTGTTTCCTTGTGTATAATATGAGGATGATTATAGCACCTCAATTTAATCTTCACTTTGAAGTTTAAGTGAGATATCACATGTAAAAAACTTAGAACAGTGTCTGACACAGAGCATGATCAATACATATTAGCCTTTGTTAATATAGATATTTTAATATATGGCATTTGAGTTATGTACAGCAATAAGTTCTATTTTTTGCCTACACTGGTTTGAGCTGGGATTCTATCACTTTCAACCAAAAGGGTCTTGTCTAAAACAATTAACATAAAGCATAAAGCCCCACAGTGTATGGGTTTATGGCAGGCCGAATTCCCTTCTGGGGACTGAGGCAGGGAAGGGGATTGAACCAATTGACCCAAGACCATCTGGCTCTCCTTAGTTGAAGTCTATCAGTAATTTTAGCTCCAACTCCTAGTTTGGAAAAGAGTTTCTTCATCACCATCCTATTTATATTCACAACTATCCTTATTCTATACTTCCTGCTAGGATGATTCCTTTTAAAAATATATAAAATACAGAAAGTGTGAAATCAAACATGAGAGTGATAAAATGAAATAAAATATTTCTACAATTAAAATATATTTTCTATTTCTTTTTATTTCTTAAATCTTAAGCTGGAAACTTTTTCCATACTGGTTTAGGGTAAATAATATCATAAGTAAGCAGCCTACAAGCTAAATAGCATAATTTTCTTGGTGTCGATTACTGGAGGGATATGCAGGGGATTTGCATGCTTAATTCCCATTAGCACCTGTCACTGGGATTTATTATCTCAGAGTTAATTCTCCACTCACTGCAGCCAAGAAAAAGAAAGCCCTGGTACATGGATTAAAATTAAGTGGTTTTTTAAAATATTTTTCAGAGCGAGATAAATTTCATGTCTGTTCCTTAAGCACCTACAGCATTCCAATCCTGAAAAATTCATAATTAAATTCATTTTTGGTAAATATTTACCCACATTTGATTTTATTCAACAACTAGAAAAACATATTCATAATTTGAAAGTCGGTCTTGGGGGTAAAGGAAGTCTTATTAAAGGACTTAAATAAGTTTTCAAATCTAATGGCTTTCATTCTTCCACTTAATCTTGAATAAGTGCTTATTGACCATCTATTATGTGCCAGGCAGTCTGGGGCTAAAGCAGTGAAACTACTAGGGAAAAAATCCCTCTCCTTGAGAAGCATACTATGGGAGAGTACATACATATACATAGACACATGCTTACACATATGTCTGCATACACCTATATGTAGATGTGTTGGATGGAAAATCAAACCAGGTGAATACAATTGAGCAAGGTGAGGTGAGTGCTATTTTGGGTAGTTGATCAGAAAAGGTCTCTCTAAGCAGTGACAGTTAAACCCAGATCTAAGTGAAGTGAGTTAGCAATTCTACACTCAGAAACCTAAGCAACACTGCATTATATCTTTCATGAAGAAAAAATAAAAGAAATCAAGGAAGGATGTGTCAAGGAAAGTTTTATGAGCGACCATTGCTTATAGGAAACTCAACTGCTTGGTAAAGCTGAACTATTTGCTGGTTCTTTCCCTGTCCTAGTTCTGGTGCTATCACTCTTCCCCTCCCTTTTCTACTTCATCTCTACTTACCATTCCCCGCCCCCTGGGGGCTGAGTTTCAGTGTTGAACTACTTCTCTTCTCTTTTACATTTCTTTTAAAGGATTAATTTCATGCAGTATCTGTCATTGAGCACTTCAATGCCCCAAAAAGGATTATGTGACAATTTAATTTTGTTTAACTAACTAGACTTTGAGGATTCTTTCCTATTGAGCCTTTTTGGCATTCAATCAACCGATGTTAACTGGACACCAACTATATATTGGGCTCTATGTTAGGATCTGGGGATGAAATGATGAACAAGACAAGATCTCTGCCTTAAAAATAGTTTAATTCTAATTAGGAGAGATAGGCATTTAAATTGTAAATAAACAAACAGTTTTTAGATAGTGTTCATGTGAAAGTGATAAATATGGGGGTTTCTTCCTTACTACTGCTGTCCTTCTTGGAAAAACTGTAATGACAAATATGGAATATAATTATAATCCTTTCTGGTGATGTCATCCTCAAAATAAATGACAGGTTATGAGTGGCCTAGATGCCCTGCCCACCATGGTGGTCACTAGCCATGTGGCTATTTAAATTAAAATTAATTGCATAAAATTAAAACTCCCATAGCCACATTGCTCAAGTGCTCAGTAGCCACATGTGTCAAATGACTACCATTTTGGAGAGCACAGGCATGAACATATTCATCATTGCAGCATGCAGCTGATGGGAGTCTGTATCAGTGGTGAGAAGAGCAGCTAACAGTTTTATGTGTTAGACACTTCGCAGACGTTTAACTCATGTATCTCTCACAAGACCGTATGGTAATTATTGCTACCAGGCCTACCTTACAGATTAGGAAACTGGGGTACTTAGTTTTATTGTTCAATATCTGTCAACTAGTAATAAGATATGCTAAGAATTAGCCCAGCCAGTCTGGTGCTGGAAACTACACTCTGACCAAAATATCATGATCCCTTGGTGTGGGGAAACCACAGAGAGGAAAGAGATTTTAGCATAGAAATGGGAGATGGCCAGATCTGTCAATGTCTTTGCCAGGGATGACCTTTTCAGGTCTATCAGACTCATCCAAGACACCTTGTATTGAGTAGAGGTTTGGATGGAGGTCGGCAGGCAGCACCGTGGAATATTAGAATTGAAAAGAACTATGAAAGCATCTAATAAAATATTGCAGAGATGGAGAAACCGAGACATGCAGTTTACCTGACTTGTCCGGAATGACAGAGCGAGTTATGAGCACAGCCCAGATTAGACAGAAAGCGTCCTTCCTCAGTGTGTGTTTGCACTTTGCCTCCTTGGCACCGAAGAGCTTACATTTTCCTGATACATGATTTATTATCAGCTTAAAAATGTACTCATTTGGGGAAGTGGTTTTCTTCTTCCCAGAATGTTAGCTGTGTAAGCGGGTGTTAACCTTTGCAAAAAGCAATCACTTTCCTTTTGTCTAGCCTTCCTTATTCTATCCACCCATCTTACATTCTTCCTTAGCTGCCCAGCCAATTCTTCCCTGGAAAAAAAAAGGGGGGGAGGGGGGTGTTAAAAAAATTCATAGCAGTTTGATTCCTTATACATACTATTAGGAGTTTGGAAAACATGTCCTAAGTTCCACCACCACTTTAAGTGGGTCCCTACAAACCCTGTGCATTGTTGCTGGGACTTTCTCCTGGCATCGGTGTCATCTCACCAAGATGCACGCAGGTGAAGCTCTCTCAAAGCCTGAGTTTTCCTTGAGCTGTTAGTTTCTGTTCCACGACAGAGAGGTTCCAGGCGCCTAGAGCATACAGCAGTCTGAGTGGAGCGGACCATCCCCAAAGTGCGGCCGGCTGGGGCACTGCAAGAGCTTCATGCCTTCTGCCCCGTCACGCAGGACTTCAGCTCCAGCCCGGCCCCGGCTTAACCAGTCTCCAGACTGGAAGTGCTAGACCGTGTTCCGGCCCCGGGAGTCTGGCTCCGGCTTCGCTGGCTCCGTGGAGAAGCTGGCAGGCGGCGGGCTGGGCTCCGCAACACACCGCCAAGTGGCTGGGGGCGCGCCACTCCGCTCCGGGAGCCGGGGTCTGGCGCCCCGCGGGGGGCAGGCGCGCTCCCCCGCCCCGCAGCCGCCTCTTCCCGCAGGTCTCTCTCCCCGCTCCCGCTGGTACCCCGCAGCCGACCGCCACATCCCGCCCCAGGCGCGCATCCCTGCATCCCCGCTTACATAAGGCCGGGCGCGCTCCCGCGCCGCTTACCCCCGGGTGGAGCCGGGCTGCGCCCTCCACGCCTCCTCGGCGCACGTCTCGGAGCCTCCCGGCCCCCCACGCGGGGAGGGGACCCTCCTTGGCCACTCGGCCGCGGCAGTCGGGACGTCTCCACCCGTGGCGAGAACACAGATTGGAGAGCAGAGCGCCTCACGGTGCCCAACTCTCTCTCCACTCCCTCCTCCCCCCGGTTCTCTCCGCCTCCTCCCCCTCCCCCCTCCCTCGCCCGCCGGTGCCTGAGAGTGTGGGGCGCGGGCGAGGGGACCGGGAGAGCAGTCCGGGCTGGGCGCGCGGCGGAGCTGCGGTGGCTGCTGCTGCGGGGAGGAGCGCCGAGGTGGCCGCCTGGCGTCGCCCCGACTTCCCAAGTGGGGGCCGAGCGGCCGTTCGCCGAGCCTCCAGTCGGAAGGCACCGGGGAAGCGGGTCCTGCAAACTCCGCCTCGGCGCCCCCTCTCCACCCCCTGGCCCCTGCCCTTGGAGAAAGTGGAGTGCGGCGCGCGGTTGTCATCCTTCCCGCGGACGGCGGCGCGGTGCACGGACTCGGCTGCTGCCCGGTGGGCTTTCCGCGTTCGCGCTGGTGCTCCCCCTGCCCACCCCGGTCGACGATGAGGGAGAGTCTGCGGGCGACAGCGGCCCGCTGCGGACTGGGACTGGGATACGTGCTGCCCATGCTGGTGCTCCCTGCCCTGGCCCTGCTCAGCGCCAGCCGCACGGGCTCGGCCGCTCAAGGTAAGGGGCTCGCCAGGCTCCCCGGCCACCTCCCTTCGCCGCTGCCTGCCTTCCCTCCTTCTTCCTCTCCTCCTCTCCGGTCCTCCCGGCTTCCTTCCTGAGCCCCCGGGGCCCTCCACGCGGCTCACTTAAGCCACTTTCAACCCCGCTTTCCCAACTAGTCGGGAAGCTTTGGTCATTAGGGTTCATTCGTCTTCCGAGATGGGCACGGATGGGCCAGGGACACGCGGGGTGTGGACCTGCATCTGTCCCTGGGCGTGTGGGCTCCTGGGGCGCCCTTTGCACTTTCTGCCCCACGCGCACACGGTGTGGGACATGGTGCCCAGAGAGACGTGGAGACACGCGCGGTGTGCGCGTCCGTGTGGCTGCACAGATGCGCCCGGGTGCACGGAGGCTCCCCGCGCTGTGCCACGTCTGGGGTGGCAGGGTCTTCCGTGAGTCCCGGAGCGCGCCAGGCGCGGAAAGGCGCGCAGCTAAGGACATGTGTCCCTGAGGGCGGAGGACTCAGCGCTGGGGCCCCCCGGCTGCTGCTCAGGGCGCCGTGGAGACACAGCCCACCCGGCCCCGCTCCACCCAGCCGGCGGCAGGCCCAGGGGTGCGCCTCCGCACGCACAGCCTCGGCGTCTCGCTCCCGGCTGGCCGCGCAGAAAACTTAGAGCCCGTGAGCTCTGGGGAAGCGGACTGGTCGCTCAAAGCAAATCCGAAAGTCCCCGGGGTCACCGGCCGCTTTATAACTCTGACATTTTTCATGAAACGCGTCTGAGCTTGAAAATAAGTGCCCGGGGCCTTGGGCCAAACCGGGCTTGGGAGAACAGCGGCGGGGAGTTGGCGGTGGGAAGGGAGGAGGGGAGGAAGCGGGGCTGATCACCTAGCTCCCTTCTTGCCCCTGGAGTTTGAATCGGGAGCGGCGGCTCCCAGCCTGCTGAGCCCAGGAAGCGGAGTGGAAGAGGGACGGGGAGGAAAGAGCCCACGCTGCCCCCTCCGCGGTTTCTCTCGTGTCACCTGGGCTCCCACCCTCCTGGCCAAGCAAAGCGCCAGCCTGGGTCCTTTTGGCTAGTTCTCTGGTGGTCGCTGGCTCTGAAGCGGCAGCTCCGCTTTTCCCCGCGGCGGGGGTGCGGTTGGGGTGGGAATGGAGGAAGCTTTTGCAGCATTGGGAGATGATTCAGGCATCCCATCGTCTCTGTTACGTCTCTTTAAACATGAGAGAGCAGAGAAGGTGCAGCGATAGCCCACACGGCTGCTCAGACACTCCGGGGGGTCCCGACAGCCATCACTGTGACCTGAGAGGGCGCTGGGGGCGAGGGCGTGGGAAGTCCAGCGCAGGGCTGAGCATAGGCCGGCGCGGTCCGGGTAGCGAGGTAAGTGATTAGCGAGGCTTTGTGAATTAGCCATAGCTACTTCTACTTCGGGAGTAAATTTTCCTGCTGCCGCCTTAAGTGGCCGCGCTCATAAATCCTTTCCTCCTTGCCAGATGCCTCCCGCCCCAGGTTCTGCCCTGGTTTTCCTGTGCATACTTCCAGAGCGCATCTGTCCATTTCACAAAGCAATCTCCATGGAGACTCCCATGAACTTGTAGGTTTCGTGAAATTGGTTAAGAAGTTCTCAGGGCGGCAGCCGTGGGTGCTGGGCGGGGGGGGGGGGGGGCGGGGGGGGCGGTCTGTTTGGAAGTTTAAGTGGGCAACCTGATGAATAGTTGTGGAATCAACTGCGTGACTCCCCGTGGAATTCGCCTGCTGTTATTGGGTGCACAAAGCCTGGGGTGCGGGCTGGGAGAGAGACCGGGCAGTGAGAGAACTATTTGGAGAAAGGACAAGTTAAAGTCCCCAAGGATGCCAAACAGGAGATCTGACATCCCTGCCCAGAGCTTACTGCAGCCAAATTAAAAAAGACTGCACAGGAAAAGGGATCGATAAAGATAAACTGGAGGTTGTAAATGGATTCATATTGGAAGAAGAAAAGAGAGATGAAAGTAAAAGATGCTCAGGGTAGACAACATTTGCCACTGGTGCTGTGTTTCTTCTTATAGACCAGGAGAGCCAGGGATTGAGACTCGAACCTGCTCTTCAGATCTTAAGTGGAAAAGTAAAATGTTTTCTACTGGATGTGTGTATTTCAGTACTGGTCTCCTCCATTTAGTTTATTTAGTTTTTTCAGTTCCTGGCGAATAAACTATTTGTGTTTGAATCTTGCGATCTTCGAAAGACATTATTTCACCTCTTTTATCTTTGTTATCCTCCATGTTCCCTGATACCAGCCCTTCCTGCCTTGTCTGTTAGGTATCAGAAACGTAGAAAGTGCCAAACTCTACTAGCGGCTATTATCAGCTACTATCACCATCACTCCACTCCATTCCCCTGCCTGCTTACTGTCAAAGCACCCTGACAATTCCTTCCCAGAATCGGACTTTTATCATCGTCTCATGGTCAGTTCTCCTTTTCCTTCTAATTTCTTGTCTTTTCTCCTCTTTGTGGACTACATGCTAGCGCAACACAAGATGTTGTTGCTCCCTGGAAGTATGATTTCCATGTGCTGAGGATTTCAGGATCAGAATGAACTATTTTTATGAATGACAGTACATATGCAATTATGACGAGAAAGTTAATTTAAGCATTTTACAATGTGGATGAGGTTTTTTTATTCTGTTGTTAGAGAAGTACTGGAAAATTAAAAGTTGTAGGAAATGTGTCTCTTCAGAGATAGCCAAGAAAACAACAGATGTTTAAGATGAAAAAAACATAGTGAGTGTTATTTGTGAGTGTGCTGCGTTTTGTAACTGTGCTTTAAAGAAAGACAGCAGTCACTTTAAGCAGGTCCTTGGGAGATCCTCTAGGCTTTAGGCAACAACTTTCTCCTCTCAGGCTGTGCCCTAATTGTTTCATTCAGGAATGCTGGGAACTCCTAGCTCTAGGGAATTTGTGGTGGTTCTGACTTTCAAGAATGAACAATTTTAGTAGGAAAAGTGTGTGTGTGTGTGTGTGTGTGTGTGTGTGTGTGTGTGTTTGAATGGTGTGCCTCAGAATTAGTGTCCTATTTCATAAGTGCATTTTATTTCTGGACTATACAGCATTGAAATTCTGCTTATCTAGCACCAACTAGTGTTTCGAGTGTTAACACCACCAAACTCAGAACAGAAAATGACTGAAGAGTCTAATCATATTAGGATAATTCTCTACTGTCATAAACTGATTTATAATATTTTTGATAAACAAGTAATATACTTCCCATAACAGAGTAAAAATTGCTTTCGTGCATATATACATGTTGGTATGGTACAATTGACATAACACACACACACAACCTTGAATTTCATTACAATGATACTATATATGTTCCATTTTAGGAGCAGAGTAAATTCATAAATTCACATTTGGAAGTTGCAGTAAGGAAAATTAGGCTAGCTTACCTTTGTTTAGACAAATAATGTCATGCATTCTCACTTAGGGGATGCTTAAAAGGCTTCAGAGTACAAACTTCTCAAGTATTTGCATAGAGTAGGAATCATTCGATTGTTCACATTTATTGACTCCTTGGTCTTTTGTGTTCTGGATACTGGGGGTTCAGAATTGAACACGACAGGGTCCTCTAACATCCCCCGTTGTAGTCCTGATCAGAATCCATACTGATCTTTTTAAAGCAACCCCCAAGGACATGAATAGGAATGAGGCATGAGCTCTACTAGGCCACCCCTCTTTGCTTATTTATAATTATTGTTGAGACTTAAAAATAACTGTTCTCCAATGTGTGCTAAGTTCCCCAGTTAGTGTGAACAGAACAGCTAGGGTGTGGTCTGTGAAGCCTTAACTGTGTCTAGCACTTTTCTGATTTAGGTCATGGCTTTGCTGGAGCAGCAGAGGGAGTCACTGGCAGAAGAAACACTAACGTTACAGGCTGCAGCCACTTCAGAAAGATAAAGGGGGGAAGTGTGGGGCAGGGACTAAGACAGCACTCTTGCCTTCCGATTTTAGATTTTAGCCTACATCTTTTTCAGTCTGACTTTTGTATTTGTGGCAGATAAAAACAAACCTGCTCACGTTTCTTCACAAATCAAAAACTTACTAGCTCATTTGGGTGGTGGTGGTATTCGAAGTAAAGTTCTTAACAAACAAGTGTCATACACTTATTATGTCCCAGGTTGTGTGCTATTTGTTAGGGATGCAGAGTTGAACGAGATAATTTTTCAGAAAGACATGTATAAGCATATAGCGGAAACTCACATTCTGAAAGGTAACAGTGGGCACAGGTGTAGTACTTTCTGGATTCAAGCATCCAATGATAGTAAACATAGGTCAGGCTAGGGGATTTTGGTGGGGGTTCTAAAATTTCTACACAGAGGAACTTGAGGGTGGCAGCTTGGTGGGAAGGTTGCATTGCAACTACCTTAAATTAAATCTTACTTAGATTACATATATGTTTAGTCTGGTTTGGGGGAGGCACAAGCTAAAGACAGTTAGTGGTGTGTGCCCATTCTGCCATTTATCTTAGTGGTTACCACCTTCTCAAGATCCTGCCTCCACCCTGCCTCGGTGTTGGGCAATGAATGAGTTATTTAGTGCCCCTGTGCCTCAATGTCCTCTGATATAAAATGAGGATCATGACAAGTCATATTCGGATTGAAAATGAGTTAATACATGCAAATTATTTATAGCAATATTCTTTGTCTTCCAACCGTGTAAACCATTGGCAAAGAAATCTAGAAGTTGAAGAAATTAAAGGTGAATGATTTTGAACTCAGAGTGGGATGGCTGAGCCATCTGAGGAGATGCTCCAAAGTGTATGGCTGGGAACTCCTGGGCAGGGCATGGTTCCTTGAACGGCATGTGGAAGCTCTCTCCTTTCAGAGTCCCATTTCTCCCTTTCTGCTTTCTCTGCGAAAATTAACCCAATGCCAGTTCTGAAAATGCCAGGTCAAGTCCTGCCAGTTAGGTCCTGGCTACAAGCTCCACCCTTGACTTTCTTTCTTTACAATGAATATTGAAGGGAAAAAAGACTTCCATGAATAA